GACTAAGGAACTGGGCGCCGAGCCCATTACGGTCCAGGGTTTTGAAGGCTGGACCCCAGAGGATTTCGACAGCCACCCCAGGACAACAGAGTCAGGGACAACTATGGGCGAGCCCGTACATGGCCGAGGCCTGAGCAAGCGATCGCTCGGGATGTCCTAAGTCATGTCCGAGACCAGCAGGGAGTTCTCCGAATGGGATCCCACCGTATGGAGGCGCCGAGCCCCCGGGGCCAATCGAACAACCCTGGGACCCAATAGAGAAGCCCTCTGGTACTTTTGGAGTGCATCTCCGGACCACTAGCCGACCCCTATCGAATGGGGCACGGGCCTCCACTCGGACTTACCCAATAGCAGCTCACCGAAAGTGTCACCGCTCGCGCCCACCGAGGGTAGCCTGGCATATTCCACCCCTCCTTCCGAGCGAAAAGGATGCGCGAGGGTCGCATAAAAAGCTAGGGGAACTCCTGACCGCCCTCTCGCTCCATGTGGAGGCTCGGGGGCTCTCCCTGCAAATTTTGCCGAGACTCAGCGACCTAGGCTCGTACTCGAGGGGGCTCGGCAAACACCCCCTCCTTCCGAGCGAAAAGGATGCGCGAGGGTCGCATAAAAAGCCAGAGGAACTCCTGACCGCCCTCTCGCTCCGTGCAGAGGCTAAGGGGCTCTACCTGCAACTTTGCCGAGACCCAGTGGCCCAGGTTCGTACTCAAGGGGGCTCGGCAAACACACCCCTCCTTCCGAACAAAAAGGTTGCGCGAGGGTCGTACAAAAAGCCAGGGGAACTCCTGACAGCCCTCTTGCTTCGGGCAGAGGCTAGGGAGCTCTTCCTGCAGATATGCTGAGACCCCACGACCCAGGCTCGCACCCGAGGGGGTCTCAGCAAACAAACCCTCACGCGCGAGGGGCGTATAAAAAGCCAGGAGAGCACCTGATGGCCCTCTCGCTCCGTGCAGTGGCCAGGGGGCTCTTCCTACAAGTTTGCCGAGACCCAGCGACCCAGGTTCGCACACGAGTGGGCTCGGCAAACAACCCCTCCGTCCGAACGAAAAGGATGTGCGAGGGTCGAACAAAAAAGTTAGGGGGACCCCTGACCGCCCTCTCGCTCCGTGCGGAGGCTCGGGGGCTCCTCTTGCACCCAAGACAAGGACAAGCGACCCAAGCCCGCACCTAAAGACTCGAAAAAATGTGATAAAAGGGCATCGAGCCCGTTACGGTCCAGGGGTTCGAAGGCTAGGCCCCTAAGGGTTTCGATAGCCGCCTCAGGGCAACAGAGTCAGGGACGACTATGGGCGAGCCCGCGCTTGGCCGAGACCCGAGCAGACGACTGCTCGGGACGCTCTAAGTCGTGTCCGAGACCAGCAGGGAGGTCTCCGAATGGGATCCCACTGTAGGGAGGCACCGAGCCACCGGGGCTTAGCGAACGGCCCCGACACCCACTAGAGAAACCCTCTGGTACTCTTAGAGTGCGTCTCTGGACCGCTAGCCAACCCCTAACGAACGGGGTTCGGGCCTCCACTCGGACTTACCCGATAACAGCTCGTCGGAGGTGTCACTGCTCGCGCCCACTGAGGGTAGCATGGCACCCTCCACCCCTCCTTCCGAATAAAACGGATGCGTGAGGGCAATGCAAAAAAGACAGAGAAACTCCTGGTCGTCCTCTTGCTCCGAGCAGAGGCTCGAGGGTTCTTCCTATAACTAAACCGAGGCTCAACGACCCAAACTCGCATTCATAGGCTCGGCTAGCGCAATAAAAATCCATCGCACGACGTAAGAAAAGCCCCTAGAGGAGTCAAATCACTCCTCCAGGCCTCGGGCTACACGGTGGGCAGGCCACGCGCACCCGCCGAGGCCTCGAGTACAAAACATAATCCCAAACAGAGCTGCTATGAGCCAAGTCTCGACAAAACCTCGTGAGAGAGCCTCACTCCTCCCGAGGCTCGGGGCCACTTGTCGGATACCGCGCAAGAAGGGGTACCCTAAGCAAGAACCAAAAAAATTGCTTAAACCTTGCAAAAATCAAAGCCGAAAGACTACCGCAAGGTCTCAGCAGATTCTCCGATTCGCCCGAGGCCTTGCGCCGAAGCCTCATGCGAAAGGCCAAAAGCTCCCCGCCCCGCCGAGGCCCTCTCGTCGAGGCCCTCTCGCCGAGGCCCTCTCGTCGAGACCCTCTCGCCGAGGCCCCGCCCCGAAAGGCCTCGGACGGGATGCCAATTCTCCGATTTGCTCGAGACTGGGCTCGGCAAACAACCTCGTTACCTCCGTCCCGACCGAACTCCTCTGACAAAATGTCATGTCCGGATTAACGCGCCTAACTACTCCTCAGAACGCGTCCCAGACGACGGTGCATGAAGCAGGCAGAGCGAGCGACCGACAGGATAGGGGACCGCAATGGGTTACTCGCCATTGTGCTCATCACTGTGCTCCCTACTAACACCCGTAGTGCCTTGTGCTACCTAACCCCTGCGCCAAGGACGAAGCGGCGTGGAAGGTAAAGTCCAGGTCCCTGTAGTCTCAACAATAGCAGGAGAGCCCAGCTGCTCGTTCTCCGCCTCGTCCAAGACCTCTCGACAGGGCCTCGGACATACTGTTCTTTCTCCGCCTCGGCCGAGGCTAGGCTCGTCCCGCATCCTCGTCGCCTCCGCCTCAACCATCCCCCTGGCAGGCTGTCCCATCTATTTAATGCGCTGAATGCACCACACGTCCACCATGACCGGCAGTAGGTACAAAGAACAGAGCGATGGGACAACGGTCAAATCTCCTTTTTACCATGCCCTGCACTTTTCCACCTAAACCAGGTCACTATAGCCTCGGAATCAGTGCATAGGCCCAACTGCTCCCTCCAAGGCCTTGGCAAATCAGCCTCGGCGCGATCGCCACCATAAACACCCGCCAGGCCTCGGCAAATCAGGCCTCGGCGGCGATCTGCTACATAAACACCGCGCCAGGCCTCGTCAAATCAGCCTCTCAGACTCCACCAGTCAAGAGTCCACCAAAGCACAAAGATGTCTCCGGTTGTGGAAGTCATCATCGACTAGACATCGACAAGGACCCCCACGACCTCAACCACTTCAAACCTGACCAGCACGGCGCGCCAGACAAGTACCGATCTCCATTCCCAATGCCATGTTGCTACAGGACAAAACTGCAGTAGGCCCCACGTGTAGCTTACTCATGTACTCCTGGCTCCTTCCTTGTGGTTATAAAAGGAAGCGACCAGGGATAGCTCGGGGGGAGAAGAAGAACATACGATAGAACTGCGCTCCTATACTTGCCCTAGACATATCCTGTAACACCCACGCTCCCGAGCTGCTTGAGAGCAGCGTCTCAAGCACCTCGCACCGTCCCACGCCGAGACCTGGGACTAGCTCCCTGTCTCACCCAGCTTGTAACCCCCTATTACAAGCACTTCGGTGCAAGGAATACAAGATCGATCTCTCAGACTGGACGTAGGGCACCAATCGCCTAAACCAGTATAAACCTTGTGTCTCTTTGCATCACCATCCGGGATTAGAGGCACGCAGTCCACTTTTACTAGTTGGTTGAGAACCCCCGGTCCGAAACACCGACAAGGGTCTTTTTGGGAGCAAAATATTTTAGCCCAATTTTTAGTCATTTACTCGTTTTTGGTCTTCCTGTTTAGATCTCTATGGCAAAAAAAAGTAAAAGTGCAGGGCTAGGACTAAAGTTTTATCGTGGGATCCAAACATGGCCATAGAAAATGTACGTCATGTTCGTTTGGGCTGGTTTGGCTTATAAGCCATGACTAAAAGTACTGTTGGTTGGTTTAATATGAGAGAAAAATATTATTTGTTAGTTGATAAGTCATGCCTTATAAGTCAAGTATGATCGAGCGAACAGGCTGATAGTCCATGGCTGATACCTAAGTCATAAATATTGATATCTTTTCTGTACCTCACTCTGAACATTGAAATCTGCATCTAACGTCCATGCTGTAGACCTCGCGTGGAGGCAGTACGATTTTTGGCGGAGCTGGCTGTTGTGGGTTGAGCCGGGTCAGGGCACGACAAAACAACTGGTGGCGGAGGGGTGGACGCGCTCGTCACACTAAACCCATGGCCGCGTCACGTGGAACACTCGGCGAGCGCGACCCGGCCCGGCCCCGGCGGCTGCCACCTCCACCTGCCCGAGAACAACAAGCACGCACGATAAACAAGTGAGAGGGGCGGGCGGACCACCACCGAGAGGACAAGAGCCCAGCCCTCGTTGGCGCCCACGTGTGGCGAGCCAGGTCCGCCGCGGACGCCTTTCACAGAAACAAGCGCGAAAAATCTACTGTTCGTTTAAACTGGGTTGGTTTATAAGCCATGAAAAAAATAGTGACTAATTTAGTGTAAGAGAAAAATATTATTTGTTGATAAGTTCTGATTTATAAGCCAAATACGACAGGCTGCTAGCGGAGGGCCGCGGCGTCTGCCTGCCGATTGCCGAATCGGCCCCCGTCTGGGGCACTCTGGCTCAGACCCAAGCATAGCATAGCAAGACGGCGTGCGGTGCGGCCATCCAGAAGCAGCAGTTAGTTGTTGCACCCGCGGGGAAGTAAGCGCTGACGTGGAGGCCACCACCCCAAATCCCACGCCAAGGCCAGTGTGGACCGACGGCCAACTGGGCGGGGTGCGTGTGGGTCCCGCGCTGCAGGTCGAGACTCGCCTTGCCTGCCTGCCTTGGCTGCCAAGGAAAGACAGAGCCGGTTCCCTGATCCCTCCCCCTCTCTCTCTCCACGGGCCCCCACCGCCTCATCGAAATTTTCCTCCACTCTACACACGCCGGTCGCCTCTATAAAACCCTCCGCCCTTTCTCCACCCCTCTCTATCGATCGATTCCCAATTCGCAACAACCCAAACAGAGAGAGAGGCCCGGTCCGGGTGGTGTCCGTTTCGATTCGATGCCTGTGGCCGCCTCTGCCGCCCAGCGAACAACGAGTCGCCGGATCCCGACGCACCCGAGGGCGCTCGGCGCCTGAAGGAAGGAAGCGCGCGTCGGGCATGGGGGAGCTCGCGGCGACGACCTCGCCCCCGCCGCCCGCGTCCACCGCCGCCGCCGTGGTGCCGGTGGTCTTCGTCGACGGCGAGCAGAGCGTGGACCTGGGCACGGTCACCGTGCAGCCCTCGCTGGGCGGCGTGAAGCGGCTGCAGGCCGTGGTGGCGGACCGCGTGGGCCTGGCGCCGCACCAGATCTCGGCGTCCCTGGCGCGGCCCCGCCGCGCGCGCCGCGTGCCGCTCGACGACGCCACCGACCTCGCCGCCGCCGTCGCGCGGGAGGGCAACGGCTGCTACGTCGTCGCGGGGCTCCGCCGCTCCCGCCGGGGCGGCCGGTCCCGCCGCGACAGGAAGGGAGGAGCCAACGGCGCCGAGGGCGCGGGTGCGGTGGAGAAGACCATCCTGAAGCGCCTCCCGCCCACGGATCTGGCGTCCCTGGTCGGCCCTCCCCCTCCGCTTTCCCTTGCCCTACCCCACGGCGGTGCCGCGGCCCCGCCGCTCGTGCTCGACGGGTGGGGCTACGACGACTACGAGGCGCGGCGGCGGGAGCTGCAGCGGCAGCGCGACTGGTACCTGGTGAGCACCGCCGGAGCGGGTCCGGACCCGTCCTACTTCCATTTGGCGGCGGCGGCGGCGGGGCATCCGGAGCACGAGGACCCGGCGGCGCTGTGGTCCCCGCGGCTTCGCCCGTCCCCTTGCCCCGAGTGCGAGGCGGCGGCGGCGGCCATGCGGCAGCCGGCGTTCCACTGGTGCGTGCGCGACGCGGTGGTCTCCGCGGGGTTCCGCTCCCACGTGGGCCCCATCGAGCGCCCGCCGAAGAAGACCCCGTCTCCTCCGCTGACTCTTCCGCCGCCGAGCCCCGGCCGCCTCCCGGGCCTCCTCGGCATGCCCGTCTACTGATGGATCGTCCAGCAGCTGATTGCTTCCTCCATGCGCGCCCCGTCCCCCTCCTCCCCTAGTACTCTAGCAAATTGTATGCACTCCCTAGAACAAAACAAGCGGAGATGGGATACGGGACGGATGGTGGAGGTTGCGTGTGGGAGTTGGTTTGCGCAGCGCGACGCGACAAGGATCGGGGACGTAAGGTCCATGCTTTTGACTTCTTGTTCTCGTATTTCTTGACCTGCCAATTGCTACCTGGCTTCTTTCTTCGTTTCTTTTGGTTTCCAATCCATCCTAAATATCTCGAGTTGCACGGACGTTGAGTTCCTTTCGGTAAACAAAAGATAGCAGCGTCCGAAAACAAATAAACCACGGGGAAAAATTCACAAATATGTCCCCGAGATAAGAGTTCAAAATCTGGACCCTTAACTCGGCGTCATCACTGTTGGCGCCGAGCTTACACGTCTACTGGTGTTGAGCTCTTAGGCTCGAAGCAGACGTGACGGTGACATGGCATGAAGTTCGACGCCGTAGATCTTCGCGCCGAGCTCGACGCCAGGGTGACTGGCACCGAGCCTGTCTTACGTATGGCCCCTAATCCTTTCTCTCTACCTCTCTCTCTCAGACCTCCTCGCTTCGAAAGCAGTAAGACCGTCGTCGCCGCCAAGCTCTCTCCGCCCTCGGCGGCGGCCATCGCCCGCCGCTTGCGCCGCCTGCGCCTCTGCGTGACTCAGCTGGACACCGCGTCGCGCCATGCGCCATCGCATCATCGGCCTTGCCGAGCCCGCCGCAGCGCACGCGATGCCGCCTTGATCCCCTCGCTGGTCCTGCGCGCCGCCCGCGCCCGGCCGCCCACCTTAGCTGCCGCCATCGAGGCGCGCCGCTTCGCCGGATCGCCAGTGCCTCGCGGCCATGGCTCCCGGCCGCCTCGTCGTCGTCCGTGATGTCGTCGCGCCCGTCGTGCCGTGGATCGCGGTTGCAGCCGCCGCCTGGCTCGGCAAGCGCTTGTCAGGTTGCGTCGGCGCCCGTAAAGCCGGCCTTGTTGCTTGCTGAGCGCCAAGCTTCAAGGCCGCCCAAGGCCATCACCGCCTGTCTCTCAAGCGCGCTGCCCCGACACACTACAAAGACACCGGCCAGCCACCACCACGGCCTTGCTCATCATCGGCTCGACCCACACCCGGCGTCACGTAACTCCTCCGTCGACGTCCGCGACTCCATCGTTTATTGTCGGACAGGTAAAAATTATGAATTTGCAATGTGCGTACTTAGTTAGCTTTGATTGTAGTGTAGTAGTTTTGGCATTTGTTATTTACTAGTTAATGTGATGACTCGGGTAGTTTATTTAGTTAGTGATCTAGTGAGATAGATATGTAGATAGATAGAAACATAGATATATAGGTACATAGATATAGTTAGATAGCTACTTAGATAGATAGTTACATATTTAGTTAACTAAATAGGATATAGCTATTTAGTTAGTACACTGTATATATGTATGTAGTTATTATCTTATTTACTTAGTTTGTAGTTAGAAAGTACTTGTTAGGTATCTATCGTCTAATTTGGACTAAATGACATGTGTTTCGTTATGTGTTTGAACTAGATGGACAACCTAGTGATCATATATCATGGAGGCACCGTTGAATACGATCGCTATGGATATGTTGAGTTTGTTGACATGTGTGACAGAACCGCTCAATTTATACAAGATCAAGTACAGCTGTCCCCGCTAACACGTTGACACGCACCTACTTTCACTTATATAAATCCGGTAGTCCGCCGAGTGTCCCGAAAGACCTCGGTAAATCAACATCACAACCAAGATCGTGTGATTAAGCAAACACACATCACATACGTAGAGTTGCAGCAGAAATAATATTACAAAGGGGTTCACAAATAATAGTACAAGTTTGGGTTTCAAAACCAATTATTGAAAACAACATAGCTTTCAAATGATTACATTAATATAAGTTTCAAATACATTGCTAGCATAAGTGACATCCTCAGACAAAAGCATATAGATGAGAAGTAAGTATAGAATCACCGAGCCGACCGGCGGTTAGCCACCATCATCAACAGGTCGAGAACATCACCTGCAACAAGGTGGGATAAACCCTGAGTACTCGAATGTACTCAGCCAGACTTATCCGTCTTAAACCAAAATAAAGCGACACCAATAATTATGCAAGGCTTTCTTTAGTGGGCTAGCTGACTCGTTTGCGAAAAGCATAAGCTATCATGAAGAAACCATTTTAAATACTTTGCATCATCTTTATTATGACCTATCCATCTAGTAAGCACCTGTACTATAGCAACCACTTGATTAACAAATAACATCCAGTTACCAACTTAGATTTAGCATATCCATATCATCCAGATAACCATCCTTGTTCCATAATAATTACTACGATGCCGTAACTCGAGTCAAGTGCTCACTATCCAGGAGCGATGGCGATTCGAATTGATTCCTAACCAGCTAGTGATTTATTCCTTATACAAACCTCAATCACTCGCTAAAGTGAGGTATCGGTCACCGAGTCAACTATCTAGGAATCTCGAGTTTGCTAGGAACCACATGTACCCGGGGGCCGACCGACTGCTCTTTGGTCTTATCTTCGCGCCCCCGTGTCCTACCACACCTGCTCCGGTACAGTGCGCTGCGGGCAATCTACTCGGCCCGAATAATCTCCCAGCTTCGCGGTCGAAAGGTGCTTTATTCGGCCAGCTAAATGTAAGGCATGCGTTCAACATGACTCGAGGCCCAACAACGGTCGGTCCTTAATCGACACAGACGGAAACTAACAGCACCCTAGAACCCTGTCTGGTTGCCTCCAACTTTTCTGTCCGGTCTCCAATTATCTATCACACATGGTTACTTCCAGGATATCATTCTTTCCATAGCTAAATTCTTCCAGTAACCACCTATAATTGATCGGATATCACCGATCGCTACCGGTCTAAGCAAGGTTGAGCAGTTATTCGATCCTGACCTAACAGGGTAAAAGGTAATAAGGTAGACAAGGATAGTAATAAATGCATCAACGGTTTCAATCAACTCCTATAACTTAATGCAACAATATATAAACTCATATATATAGAAAGAATTGCTTTTATAAATTAGGAGACTTATAATGCTCCGGGGGCTTGCCTAGGATCTGACATAAGTCAGTTCAGTTAGCTTGCACCGTCCTGGTGACATCTCAGGTCCTAGCACTCGCTTAGTCCTTCCATCTTCAGGATAGATCCTCCATACATCGTCTTCGGGTTCGGCTCCAACATCATGTTCTTCACGTGGTTCATCTAGTGCACCTAGATGAGATGCAAGATGCATGTATATGAATGTGATGAATGGTAACACAAGATGCAACACATAAGCATTCAAGACAAACCAGTTATTCACGGCAATCATAGGGTCAAGGCTGCAAACAGCAGCAACTAATTTTACTCATAACAGGAGTTGTACTAATCCAAAAGACATGCAATAAGACAATCTGGAAAGCTTATGAAATTTTATACAATTTATCTTTAATCCTCTTAGCATGATTCTCAAGTTAACTAAGTCAATTATACCCATTTACAGAAACTGGTCCACAATTGACAGAAAGCAGTCATTTCTGAAACCCAACTTTAAACAGGCATAACTCACAAACCACAAGGCCAAATACCACCAAATTTTAAAAGAAGCTAGATACATGAATTATCTACGACTTTGTTATTCTCATATTAAGATGATTTTACAGTTAGAAGGGTCAACTAATGCAATAATTGCATCTCTGTCCAAAACATTGATAGAAACTGATATGCCACTTTAAACAGCTATAAATGGAGTTATACATGTCCAATAAATGTGGTTCTAGACTTTTTAGAAAGCTTAGCAAATTATAAACAACTTTCTTGTAAACACCTAAAGCTAATTCTGCTACTAAGAAGGCCCCACAATAAGGACAAGGAAAACCCTCTCTAGTTTTGGGCAGAAACAGCCACAGAGATTTAAGCAAGTATAACTCAAGATCTACTTAGCCAAAAATCATGATATTTAGCTTTTTAAAAAGCTTAAGAAAAGTACCACAACTCATGTATTTTCACCAAATCATGATTCATAACTTAACCGAGCCAATTAATTCAAACATGCAGAACTGTCCAGAGTAGAAGCAAAGCAATACAGGGCATTTGTTATTTTTATAACTCTTAAACTATAAATCCTAAACTCCTGAAATTTTTACCAGACAACAACAATCACCTTAGTAGCACTCCACAAAAATTTCACATTTATTTGAGCATAAAAACTACAGTTATGAAAAAGACAAGACATGGCAAGTAACAGGAACCTAGCTGCATAGATCTATTTTTACAGCAAAATATTTAAACTAAACATTCCCTATTATAGATCTAGTGCATAGAGAATTTCACAAGGATTCCAAAAAGTCCTTATTTACTATTTTACGATTTTTCTACAAATTACTATGAATTTTCAAAGTGGAGCATTCAAATCTGCCAAAATCAAAAGAAAAGGAATCTAAATCTTGCACTGGGGTCCCTGCAGAAAACATATATTAAATACGAACAAATGAATCCCTTTCGGCACTATTCACAAGAGTCACTGTCTATTCACTTAACCCCCTAGAGAAACTTCTATTTCTACGCGTGGTCCACCTTCTCCTTCCTCCCGACGGTGGAGCAGAGGAGCGGCCGGCTCGCGGCTCTGGCCGGCTGTGGTCGTCGACGGCGGCGGTGGAGTGGCGGGGAGGACCAGGGGTCCCGCGCTCACACGCTGGGCTGCCCAGCTTGGCCTGACGCGGCCTGCGGTGGCGCGGCCATAGTAGCCGCGGCGGCGACGGCAGCTGCTCCGACGGCGGGGAGCAACAGCGGCCAATGGCACCGGTCAAGGAGGTCCAGAGGCGCGGTGTGAGCTGCGCAAGGATGTGCCACTGTCAGCGGGGAGCGGTGGAGAGCAGAGGCGAGGGGGCATAGCGGCGCTGCAAGCTCGGCGGCGGCGGCGAATAGAGCAGGCGACACCG